CTCCCTCCCTCCACCGACACACGAACCACTCTCTCCCTCCACCGACACACGAACCACTCACTTTTTCCTGATGACACAGCTGAGAGGTTTGTCGGATTCCTCCAGGAAGTAGATGACCTGTGTCTGACCGTCGGTCACTGTGCCGGGCGACGCCGCTTTCCCTCGCTGACCTGGACAAAAGAAAGGACAAAAATTACTAAAAACAAAACAAAAACCATCACATTCCACTTGACACGTACAACAACTCCAACACCGAGATGGAAGTTTTACAAATCTCACTTTGACCTGCCAAATTCTTCTACAGAAGGCTTATCTAAACATGTCCTGTCTTGTTGTGCGTGTGCGTGAGTGCACCCAACCTTTGTAACGTCTACTGCCATTGTTAACGACCAAGACAAAGTTCTCCCTGCGAGATGAATAACGATTGTCCTTGTCATGAGTAACGTCAATGGACTGTAATGTTCAGTTCTCGTGTATTTGACACATAGTTTGCCACATCCAGGGGTTACAGTAAGCCGGCTATAGCCAGTCCACAGACAGACAGTGCCGCACACAGCCACTGTGGACATTTCCTTGGCACACGCGACACGCGGCTAACATCACAGAATGAAGAACTGTTTTCTTTTCCGGTTGAGTCTTCGGTAAATTGTTGGTGACCCTACAGCGAATACACGGGTTCTGTTGGCGCGGGGCTGGACTGCAGTGTAGGTTTTTGTTTTAGTAAGGTTTTATGGCCAAGGGGTGGATGTCAACAGAGAAGTCCTTATAGGGAATCAGGCTTACTCTGCTCATCTCTCTAGCTTCAACAGCACAAAGTCTGCTTCGACTATCAAGGCACCCCGGAAATAGCGAGTCACAAGAGTGTGACAAACATACAAAAGAAGTAGAGGGAAAATGACGATAGTAAGGATGAGGAAAGAAAAAGCAGCAGTTCCCCCTATGTTGTTCCGGCACAGTATGAGCATGACATTGATAAATCAGCCCGTTTACAATTCTACTGTTCATAAGAACATGTTAATGTCCTCCCTTTGGGAATGGCCTAAAGACACTTCAGTCAACAGTACTGCCCGGGGGGGGTCTGGCAAAGGTTAAACCTTGGAGCTCCTGGTTGAGATGGTCACTGTACCCGTGGAGCTACTGAGAGCACCTGAAGGAAAAGATTGAACAAATCCACTACTGCACAAAAAGTGAGGGAAACACCTTGAAGAATCCCCCCCTCCCCCCTTGCACTGCA